TATTAATCATTTAATATTAAACAATAACCATTAACTATTATATAACCAAACAATTATATTAATTGAATCTCTTATCTACTATTAGCTACCCGTTTTCAATTATTTACTATCCATTATTTGCTAACCGTCATCTACTATTGTTACTGTTATCCACTATTCTTACTGTTATCCACTATTCATTACCTACTACTCACTATTTACTACCTACTACTCACTATTTACTACCTACTACTCACTATCTGTTGAATTTTAATTGTTATGCCAAATAGGCTCTTGATCCAAGATTGCCTAAAATCTATTTGTATCATGTTTTGTATGCTGTTTATGATCAATTGAGTTCGTTGCCTTATGGACCATAGCAATCTTTCCCTGATGTCACATAACATCATTACTGTTTCAATGCAAACCCTCTTTTCCTTCCCTCCGTGGGGGAGCAGATTTTCTTGGATCTCCACTTCTCTAACATCCAGCTACCATATACCATATTATTCTTTGTGGAATTTGGCTTCAAAGATTCAATAAGGGCCACAATAGCCCTAGAGTTTGGCAACATTTCCATGGTTGCTACTTGTGGTGGTGCTAGATTTTTGAAGCAACAATTGTCAAATTTATGGCCAAACTCACCACAATGAAAGAAAATTTTATGTGGACCTTCACATTCAATGAGAATCAAAGCTTGAGGTAGGTAATCTAAGTTAAATCAACTACAAAAGGTAATGGCTGAGGTAGATCAACTTCAATGCGTACCTACGCAAACTAACCTTGAGTGGCAAGAAGGGCAGTACGATCCACTTTAGTAAGCCTCTAATTATCTTCCTACTCAAGTATAAAATGATCGACTCCTAATAACACATGACACCATACAATTTCCCTTAGCCCTTGCAAGTTGGAAGCTGGAGTCCCACGATTGAACAGTTAAGTCGTGATCAAAGAACTTGTATGGACTATTTGTAGTAAAATTATCCAATTAATTCTTAAATAAAAAAAATGTAAAATTAAAAATTTACTGTTTTATTTAGAAAAATAACAAAGTTCACATTCTAAAATAAAATAAAAAATAAAAAAATTCATATTTTTATTTACATCTTTTCTCACCAGCCGTGAGAATCCTTGAGTAGTCCTAGGTGGATGCAAACTTAATAACATAATAGCCTAGTCCAATATCTATCACCTCAAATCCCTTACTGTGTGCCATTCTTTTAGCAACTTGGGACAAAGAGTGTGAAAGTGGACAAACTTCCTAAGTTTGATAATAACCGAACATTTCCAGGGAGCGCAAAGCCTCTGCTGCATTGATTTTGGGATCTTCACCTTGGGGATTTTTGCAACACCAAGTTCCTTACCATCTTCAATCATTGGGGCTACATCTTCCATTTCATTGTTCACAACAAGGAGTTCCTCAAAGGTAACCAATTACGAGGTTATGGCTGCATTCCCATCAATAAGGTTTTCTCTAAAAGATTTGGTAAGGGTTACTCTAGCCATAGGGTCTGAGGTCGCAATGATGGTGATTGCTGGGAAGTCATAGTTGTAGTTTGGTTGTCTCCTCGTCACCAAAGGCAAAGGGTCGGGGACGGGCGAAGGTTCCATCATACCTCTTGGTAGTTTTTAGTTTCAATGTTTACCCATAAACTTTCTCATTGATGAAATAACGAAAAAACTTGAGTCATATAGATGGATTCTCATGGAAAAAGTGCATTCTATTCCTTATTTTCATTTCTTTATGTTATTATATTACTGTATTAATGTGATTATTATCATATATTATTTTATTAAGGTTATATGTTTTAATTGTAATTTTATCAATTTATAATTTTTTAAATAATTTATTATCATATTAAGAAACATCTATTTATAAACTAATTTTAATTAATTAAATAATAAATATTAATTATTTTATTAATTTTCATTTATTTTTAATAATTAAATAAATTTTTTTTTTACAATTTACATATTCTCAATAAATTTGAAGCGGACTATAACTATTAACTTGCTGCCAAAAAAACATTTTAAGAGTCTCAATACATGTTACATCATCTCACTCAAATTATTTTATTTAATTCACAAATTAAGGTCCATTTATTTGAAGATTAAGAGAAACAAAAGTTCTTAATAGTTTTATCAATATTATATTCTATTCCTTAAAATCTTAGAAAGTGAGCCCAAATTAGAGAACTGGTAGGACCCACTTGAAGGTGACGTGGTACCATGGGTGTGCTCGGCTGGAAGAGACGTCCATCTTTCTATTTCCTCGATTTTTTTCCTTTCTTTCATTTTTAAATAATTAATAATTAATAATCCGTTAAAAAAATTAAAATATTTAAAAAATTACTAAATATTTTAGTGTTTTAAATATCATAATATTTTAAAAGATCAACCGTGTATCGTTATTTTTGATTTTTAAAAATAATTAGAATCTTAATTTATATATAAAAATTGAAATCTCATTTTATTAAATGTAATATTGATATATATTTTAATATATCAATATTTAAAAAAATAATTTTTAAATTAAATTTTAATTAAATAAAATGACATAATTTAATATTAAAATTTTAATTTTTTAATTAAAATTGATATGTACTTTTTTTTTGTATTTTAATTTTCACTTTTTTTTTATCTTTAATTAATTTATAAAATTAGGAGAACTTCATATGTAAAAAAAAGGAGAACATGTCGATGTCAAGCAGAGAAAATACCGTTATAAAGCAAGTTATAGAGAACTAGGGAAGCGGGGGGGTGCCCAGTACAAGGGATGACCTCCTTTAATACAATAATTTTTTTCAACCACGATCTATATCGAAAAAATTTAATTTTTTTAAAATAAAATATTGAGTTTAAATCTTATAAATGAAAAACTAGATCTTTGAAGAGCTTTCTCTCTTGATATCAACTCCAGATTAATTAATATCTAATGTGACTTTTAAGTACTAAGGGATTAGTATTGTGATGTAAATTATGAAAGTATTTTCAAGATAAAACACACATTTCAAAATTAATTTATTCTTACAAGTGATCTTAAGAGTTAAGGTAACTTATGTTAATCTAATGTACTTGATTAAAAAAAATTAAATTTTTTAGAGGC